TTTTTTTTTCGTTTATGTGTATGTATGTCGTGTGTGTGTGTGTGTGTGTGTGTGTGTGTGTGTGTGTGTCTATGTGTCTTTGTGTGTGCCTGCAGAGGCCAGCAGTGAGTTTCAGATTTCCTGGAGCTGGAGTTATAGGCAGCTGTGAGTTGCCTGACACGGCTGCTAGGGACTGAATGTAAGTCCTCTGCAAGAGCAGCAAGTGCTTATGCCCACTAAGCCATCTTGCTTTTTATTGCTATTTTTCTTTTCTTTCTTTTTTTTTTTTTTTTAAGCCAGGGTCTCACTATGCAGCTCTGGAAGGCCTGGAGCTTGCTGTGTAGATCAGGGTAGCCTTGAACTCAGAGATCCTCCTACCTCTGTTTCCAGAGGTGGAATTGGAGACATGTGCCATCACACCTGGCTTTTTTTTTTTTTTTTTTTTTAATGCTTGCAGGTCTTGGGAGGAGTTGAAAAAGCCCCGTGTTTAGCAAGACACAAAATTTTAAAATCTGCTTCAATGTGAATATTTGTGGAAATGAAGGCTCATGTACCTCATGTATTCTAGCCGATACACAGACAAGAGATAGGTAGACATGGCAAAGTCCAGCTTGTTGATGAGGGCAGACACCTCAGGAGGAGGATCCAGCAAGTTGATGATGGTGCTTCGGAGCTCACTCAGTTCAGCCTGAAGGGAAAGAAACACACACAGGCTTGTGAGGCTACCTTCTTAGAAGAAAGGGGTCCTAGTGGTCAGCAGCATGCATATGCAGACACTGAAAGGATCTACTTTAATTTTTTTGTTTTTTTGAGACAGGATCTCCCTGTAGCCTCAGCTGTCCTGGAACTCACTAGGTAGATCAGGCTGGCCTTGAACTCACAGAGATCCATCTGCCTCTGCCTCCCAAGTATGGGATTAAAGTGCCCGGTGATCTAATTTTTTCTAGACAGTTTAGCAAAGGTGACAAGATAATCCTTACAGGGGTAACCGTGTCGTTTTTCATGGCCGAGTTGTACTGGAGGACTGATCGCAGGGGTTCTTTGCTGGGAAAGGTGAGCAGGGGTGACTTGGTAGCTATTTCGCAGACGCCTTCATACCATTCTTCTGGCCAGAGTCCTGGTGGGGGGGGAGTGAGATAAGGGCTGGGGTACAGATCAGCACTTGAGTCTCTGACTAACATGCATGGGTAAGGCTCTGGGTGCCATTCTCAGCATGGTGGGTGAGGGAAGCAAAAGAGAGAGAGAGAGAGAGAGAGAGAGAGAGAAAGAAACGGGAGGTGGATTTTAGTTCAAGAAGTTCTACACTGGTACTGACTCTGGCAATTTCTAGAGTCCCGGGGTCCCTTGAGATATTTTCCCCAAAATGAGGCAGAGAAATAAGTCTGCTATCTTTCCTATGGGTACATGACATTTCCTGTACCCTAAACTCAGTGTGATGTTTATAAACACTCTGGGACACAGCAGCTCATGTCAAATGTACTCAGACCCTGAGAAGGTGGAGTCTGAACTCATCTTGTTTTCCGCTACACACTCTGGGGGAGATACCACCTCCTACCTGAGCCTTCTACCGCGAATCCCATTAGTACAGAGTAGAGCCAGAAGTCCCGGAAAAGCTTCTGTAGCCGAGGCTTAGCTTCCTTGATGGGCGGTAACCGTCGGGTGAGCTGATGTGAAAGGAAGGGAGAAAAGAGGTTATTTTCTGATAAAACTCTAATACAGCAGGCGTAAAATCAAGCACACGTTCTCCAGGAACACTCTAATCCCCAGAAAGGGAAGATGAGGGTAGCTTCAGAAATGGTACCAGCAGTGCTTTGACATGTCCTAAGATAAAGACATGCAGCATCTGTCATAGGTTAGTGCAGGGAAATACTCCTATACTTCAAGACAGTCAGCAATGAGGTCCCAAGATGTATCCTCTCTGACCCACTAAGACAGGAAAGGTAAGAGCTACTAGATAGTTTTCCTCCCAATAATGGGTTATAAGATAAGAAAGCTAAAGATGTAGGAAATATCACTGGTTTCTGGTTTAAAACAAAACAAAAAAAAGCTGGGGCAGTGCTTGCCCACTATGCAGGAAGCCCTGGGTTCAATCCCTAGCACTGCATAAACCAGGTATCGTGTCCTATGCCTGTAATCCCAGAACTTGGGAGGTGGAAGCAGGAAGACCAGAAGTTCAAAGCCATCCTTGGCTATATAGTGAGTTCAAGGCTAGCCTGGGCTACATGAGCCCCTGTCTTTAAAAAAAAAAAAAAAGAGCTAGGGGTGTAGTTCAGTGGTAGAATGCTTGCCAAGCACATACAATGCCCTGGATTCAATCTCTAGCACTGCAAAACAGGAAAAACACAACAACTACTAGATATAAACATTTCAAACAAATAAGAACATTAAGTAGAGAATGAAAGCCATGCTGCCTGCCTCCTCCCTGATTTTCATTGTGAATATGTACAAGTTCTCTAATGAGAACAGTTTTTATTTATGAGCATCTATTGTGTGCTGGATACCAGTAAATTCATTCTCACAGTGGATTTAACTGGGAAATGACTACCCTTTGGAGGGGAGGATACTAAGAGTGAAAATTCAGCTAAGGTGCTCAATGTGACTTCCTGAAGCTAGAAGACTGGCAGCCACATGCCACTCTACAGAGAAGATGCTCCAAGGAGAAACAAGATCAAGTGTCAAGGATGTGTGAAAATGAGAGAGCACAGGGAGTTAGTCAGGGCTGAGCTCAGTGGTCCCCAGGAGTAGTCTGAAATAACAGTCTCCCTGAGCAACATGATGCTGCCCATAGGTGCTGCCCATAGGAGACATAGGTGGAGACAGATAATTTTTTGAAATATTTTTTTGGTATACATATAATTTTACCACTTATTAAAGATGAAAGTAAGTTTTTAAGCTAATGGGATACATATTTTTTTATTTTTACATTAGAATTAAATCTTGGTTGAATATTTGATAATGCAGGACATAGAGACTGTCAATGTTTTCCAGAGTTTTGATTTTATAATTGAAAATACTGAGGAAGCCCCTTTGCATGATGACATAGTACAAAATGGTAGAAGTATGTTTAAGGTCACTTAAAAAGTTGGTAGAAATTCTGTCCTAATCCCAAGTCAAAAATTCATTTGATGATGAAATAAATAAATAAGAAAGAAAGAAAGAAAGAAAAAGAAAGAAAGAAAGAAAGAAAGAAAGAAAGAAAGAAAGAAAGAAAGAAAGGGAAAGAAAGAAACTCAAGTCAGCAATTCAACAGAAAATTTAAAACTCAATCTGGGCTGAGAGATGACTTAGTTGGTAAAATGCCCACCACACAAGCATAAGGACCTGAACTTGGATGCTCAGAACCCACATAAAAAAACTAAGCGTGAGCCAGGTGTGGTGGCACATGTCTTTAATCCCAGCATTCAGGAGGCAGAGGCAGGTGGATCTCTGAGTTAGAGTCCAGCCTGGTCTACATAGTGAGTTCCAGGCTAGCTGGGGCTACAGAGAGACCCAGTCTCAAAAAAACAAAAAGCAAAAAATTACTGGGACTGGAGAGACGACTCATCAGTTAAGAACACTGGCTGCTCTTGCAGAGGACCTGGGTTCGATTTTCAGCACCCAAATGGCAGCTAACAACTGTCTGTAACAGGTGCACTTACATACATGTAGGCAATACACTCATACACACGAAAAATAATAATATATATATTTTTGTCTTTTTAAGACAGAGTCTCCCTGTAGCCCTAGCTGGCCTGGAACTTGCTATGCAGACCAGGCTGGCCTCGAACTCACAGAAATATGCCTGCTTCTGCCTCTCAAGTGCTGGGATTAAAGGCATGCACCACCATGCCTGGCTACCAATAAAATATATATATATGTTTTTTGAAATGTATTATTTTTATTTTATGTGTATGGATGTGTTGTCTGCATGTAGGTGAGTGCACCCATGTTGTGCAATGCCCGTGGAGGACATTAGAGGCTGTCAGATCCCCTGGAACTGGAGTTACGGACAGTTGTTAGCTGCCATGTGGGTGCTGGGATTCAAACCCTGTCTTTCTCAAGTGTTCTCCACCTTATTTTTTTTAATTTATTATTTTTGTTTTATGTGTATAAGTGTATTGCCTGCATGTATGTGAGTGCGCCCATGTGGTGCAATGCCGCAGAGGTCAGAAGAGGGTTTTGGATTCCCCTGGAACTGGAGTTAAGGACTGTTTGTAACCACCATGTGGGTGCTGGGAATTGAACCCCAGTCCTCTGCAAGCACAGTTAGTGCTCTTAACTGTTAAGCCATCTCTCCAGCTCCTCAATAAATTTTTTTTTTTTTGGTCTTTTTTTGAGACAGGGTCTCCTTGTAGCCCCAGCTGTCCTGGAACTCACTATGTAGACCAGGCTGGCCTCGAACTCACAAAGATCTGCCTCCCAAGTGCTGGGATTAAAGGCGTGCGCCGCCATGCCCAGCCCAATATTTTTAAAAATTACTACAGTCACACAGATTCCCTGCGAATGCCTATGTGGATCTGGGATTGGAAAACATAGGTCATAACATCCCTATGTGTCCTACAACAGATAGGAGAGCTAGGCTATCCTAGATTCTTAAACAGCATCACAATTTCCTTATTTCCTAAGACACCAACCTTATTCCCCTCTTCACTTTCCAATACAGAAAATGCTTTCCTGAGCTTACAGGGATATACATCTAGTAGCTGAACCAGCCACTTCTGCTCTGGAGGCCAGACATGCTGTGATTATCAAAGAGAGGGAAGGCACAGTAGGAGGGCAGACACGTGGTCTGTACTTTCAAGGGAGCACTGTAACTACCCAACGCAAACTCCAAGATCTCTGAAGTGTCTTGATTATACACTGGCTTCAAGATACCCTGCACCAAGACTGTGTAGGCATCCTGACATGGTGACTGTCACAATAAAACCCCCAGCAACAGAAGAATTAGAGTCTGGAAGCAGCTAATTACTAAGTACTGATCAAAGATGGGAAGGGGTTTGTGCTGACGAAGCTAGTTGAGTTGTGTTTGAACTGGGACATATTTGCTTTGGAAAATACACAACAGCTCAGCACCAAAGTTCACATTGAAACCCTGCTGGTGACCCTGTCTGATTTTATCTCTCTACCACCACTGCACAGAAGCACAGCGGTAAGTTCAATTTCTTGACATTTTTGCCAATTATAATTTATTTTTGGTGTTTGGAGATAGGTAGTTTGTTCCTTTCTTTATTGAAGTACAAATGAGAAGCTTTCTACACTAAGAAAGGGAAATTTTTTATTTTTTTGTCTTTTTTGAGACAGGGTCTCCTTGTAGCCCCAGCTGTCCTGGAACTCACTATGTAGACCAGGCTGGCCTTGAACTCACAGAGATCCGCCTGCCTCTGCCTCCCGAGTGTTAGGATTAAAGGTGTGCGCCACCACGCCCGGACCTTCTTTTGGCATTTTTGAGACAGGGTCTTGTAACCCCAGCTGGCCTGGAACTTGCTATGTAGGCCAGGCTAGCATCAAACTCACAGAGATATACCTGCTTCTGCCTCCCAAGTGCTGTGATTAAAGACCACGCCCGGCAGAAACATTTTTTTTTTAATCCATTATGAAATTCTACCTGCTATAGTATTGGAATAATTGACAAAATTGGAATCCAAACTGTAGAAGAGATGAAATTATTATAATGGTAAATTATTTAAATTGGAAGCTGGGCATGGTGGCATATAATTCCTGCACCTGAGAAGTCAAAGCAAAAGGATGGGCTACAGAGACCCTATGCATACATCAGTCCAGGGCAAAACATATCTTTTCAAATTAGATAACTATCTGGTGATTAAGTATAAGGATATGTCCTTGGGCAATTTTTCCTGAAGTATTATTATTAAAGGTTAGAGATATATAAAAGGTCTGATCTTAGAAGGTTCAGAAAATAAAGGGACACAAGGGGCTACTCTACTGTTCTTTCAACATTTCTGAAAGTCTGAAGTTATTTCAAAGTAAAACATTTTCTACACTACAGGCAGTCGCTTCTCTCCCTTCTCTTTCCTGTTTGGACATGGTGACACGGAGCCCGGAGAGAGGATGGATTTTAGGTGTTCCGCTATGACACTGACCACATAGGTCAACTCTACTTCATGTGACTCATGAGAATATGCTGTATGATGTTTCCAGGAAACAACTTTTTAAATGATTTATCTTAAAAACATATTGCTTCTCTTTAAAGATAGCAATTTGAATTTATACACAACTTAAAGATAGTTTTAAATGCCTTAATTTTTATTATACTGACCAGCAGAACAGGGGGATTTACTTTTTTGAGTTCTGATTTCTCAATCCATAAAAATTATCTTTACATTATACCCTTTCTCTCCGGGCGTGGTGGCGCACGCCTTTAATCCCAGCACTTGGAGGGGGGACAGAGGCAGGCAGATCTCTGTGAGTTCAAGGCCAGCCTGGTCTACATAGTGAGTTCCAGGACAGCTTGGGCTACAGGGAAACCCTGTCTCAAAAAGACAAAAAAAAAAAAAAAAAAAAAAAAAAAAAAAAGAGAAATTATACCCTTTCTCTAGTAAGAGAATAATGGAAACCTTTTATGGCTTAAAGCTTTAATCATAAAATATAAGAACACTGTGATGCTTAAGAATCAACCCCCCACAAACCAACAGTTTCCAAACATATTCTCTGAGTAGCAGGGTGAGATGAAGAATATCTTTACTATCTGGGCTCAGATTAGTTTCCTCAAACCCACATTAATTCAGGTTGGCTTTTTGTTTGTTGTTGTTCTTTAACATTTTTTGAGGGGGTGTCTTTTTGAGACAGGGTCTCCCTGTAACCCCAACTGGCCTGAAACTCACTATGTAGACCAGGCTGGCCTCGAACTCATATAGACCTGCCTGCCTCTGCCTCCCAAGTGCTTGGACTAAAGGCATGTGTCACCAAACCCAGCTAAAAATTTTTTTTTAAAAAGTCTCTTCAGTTCTGGCCTGGGTGTGATGGTGCACACCTTTAGTCCCAGTGCTTGGGAGGCAGAGGCAGGTGGACCTCTGTGGACTGAGACCAGCCTGGTCTACATAGTGAGTTCCAGGCTAGCTGGGGCTACAGGAAGACAGACCCTGTTTCAAAGGGGGTGGGGGGAGGAGAAGTTAAAACCTCTCATATTAAAATAATGCTGGAAAGTGTTCATTTTAACCATATTATAAGGAACAGGACCCGAGGACAAAGACTGGCAACAGCTGTTCCCTAAACCTGGGTATCTCTGAGTGTCCTGGCACTCCAGGGCAAACAAGGTAGAGCACTTGACATCAGGGAGCTGGGGCTTAAACAACTTCTAGTTGTTTAATCTAGTCTCTACCTACCATCTATCCACCCATCCATGGATTTTGGTGCTAGGGATTGAAGCCTGGCCCTGTACAGCTTGAGTGAGAGCAGTTATATTGAGCTACATCCCCAATTCAAGCCACTGCTGTATCTTAGTTAACAGCAGTGGAAGGTTCCATCTCTTGATAGGTTAAAATGGTAGGTGGATGGCATTAACTTATACAAAATGCCTTAATACAGTGCCTGGCATCCAAAAGAAGCTCCACTAATAGCCATTGGGATTACCAACTTTAACAAAATTGAGAGTATTCCAAGTGGGGTACTTTACAGTTAGCCCCTAACAATTTTCAGGCCTAACAAGTTCAAATATTTCAACAGGAGCCAGTAATTCTTTTAAAAAAATTTTTTTTTGAGACAGGGTTTCACTGTGTAGCTCTAGATGGCCTAGAACTCATTGTGTAGATCAGGCTGGCTTTGAACTCATAGAGATCTACCTGCTTCTGCCTCTGGAGGGCTGGGATTAAAGGAGGTGTACCACCATGCCCAGCCTGGAAGAGCCAGTAAGTAACTCTAATCTCATCTAGACTGATGGCAGACATTCTAAACTAGAAAAATATCACAGGCACAAAACAAACTCTACAAAACAGAATTCTTTTTTCTTTTTTTAAAATATTTTATTTATTATTTTTATTTTATGTGTATGTATTGCTTGCATGTAGGTAAGTACACCTGTGTCATGCAATGCCCATAGAGGACGGAAGAGGCTGTTGGATCCCCTGGAACTGGAGTTACAGACAGTTCTTAATCACTGAGCCATCTCTCTAACCCACAGAATTCTTTTTTCTAGGAGGATCAAAAATTTCAAACACTGTACGAAACTGGGATCATGTACTACCTTCCTGCTCAGAATACAAATATTTATCCAGTGAAACAAGGAAGCAATAAAAAACAGGTCATCTACCAGTTAACAGCTGGAAGATAGGGAAGACCAAGTCAAAGCCATTTGGCAGCCAAAGTGGATTTGACAAAGTTGTCAAACCCTCCTTGAAACAAGACAAGGATTAAATAGTTAAAGACAAGAACAGGGGTCTTGTTTACAGGCCTTTAACCACCACCCCCGCCCAACCTCAGACCATGTCTGCATGGGGAGATCAAAAGTAGTGAAGTAGAAAGATTTGCTTTTCCCTGACAGCAAAGTTCTCTCTATAGCAAGTCACATACCCTAATAGTCCCTGTGGTTGCTGGGAGAGACACAGGCTACCAACCACACTTCTCTCAGTAGGTCCTGAGGGAGTCTTGCCAAGTTCCAAATCTGAAATTAACCCCAAATGATTACGCAGATTTCAAATATCTTTAGAATATCTGTTTTTAGAAGGCCTGGAGATTTCAGAAAGCCCATATATATTCACAACACTTCCTTCTCTCTAGGTGAGTGGTAGTTTGGGCCTTACAGGCAGGGCTGAGTCCTTCCACTGGAAATTCCTTTTCAGTCCCAGGTACTCACTCCAGCCCATGTCTTATGAAACCTCTTCAACTCCCTGAGCACCCCTTCTCTCACCAAGAGGTAGAGTCATTGTCCTTTCCCTATCCCCACTGTGGTAGTACTATTTTGAAAGCCATTGATTTACTTCATGTCTGTTCCTTGAGTTTGGCTCATGAGTCTTCCAGTAGGAAGATTTTGGTGCCTCTAGGACCAGGTGTGCTTTCTGGAGACAATAGAAACTCCACTCTGGGGCTCCTGAGTCCCCAGGAATCTCAAAAATCCCAGTTTTGTAATCTATAAAGGGATTCTCAGGCAGGTAAAGGTACTTTCTGTGCAAGCAGTTACCTGAGTTTGATCCCCAGAACCCACATAAAGGTGGAAAAAAACTTACTTCATGAAGTTACACACATACACACACACACACACACACACACAAATAATAGAAATTAAAAAAAAAAAAAAAAAAAAAATACTTATCTAGGAGCCCATAGATGCCAGGAGACTAACACTAGGTGTATGTTTATTTTCATCAGATTTTCTTAAAATTCAGCATCCTAAGTAACAACTGGTGTCCTGAAGGGCCTCTTTCTGTGTTAAGGCCACAGAAAACCTGTTGTCTGGATGCAGCAGCAAGCTGGGGGTCCAGGCTGTCACTCACTCTATTGTCTGTTTTCTCTACCAGCTTTAGCTTTGCAAAAATGAAACATTCATTCTACCCCCTTCTTGTTTCTCTCATCATAACATCTGTGTGTGTTGGGAGCAAAGGCCTTGCTGAGCAGCTAAAAAATGAAAACTTGAGTATGCCCCTTCTGCCTGCTGATTTCCACAAAGAAAACACAGTCACAAATGACTGGATTCTAGATGGGGAGGAGGATGAAGACTATCTGGACCTAGAGAAGATATTCAGTGAAGATGATGACTACATTTACATCATTGATGCTGTTTCTCCAACAGATTCAGAATCAAGTGCAGGGAACATCCTGCAGCTTTTCCAAGGCAAGAGCCGGATCCAGCGTCTTAACATCCTCAATGCAAAGTTTGCCTTCAACCTTTACCGGGTATTGAAGGACCAGGCTACTCCTTCTGATAACGTCTTCATAGCACCTGTTGGCATTTCTACAGCGATGGGGATGATCTCCTTAGGCCTGAGAGGAAAGACCCATGAGGAGGTGCACTCGGTTCTACATTTTAAAGACTTTGTCAATGCTAGCAGCAAGTATGAGATCACCACCATTCATAATCTCTTCCGAAAGCTCACTCATCGCCTCTTTAGGAGGAACTTCGGGTACACGCTCCGGTCAGTTAATGACCTTTACATTCAGAAGCAGTTTCCGTTACAGGAGGACTTCAAAGCTAAAGTCAGAGAGTTTTACTTTGCTGAGGCACAGGTGGCTGACTTCTCAGATCCTGCCTTCACATCAAAGGCAAACAATCACATTCTAAAGCTCACCAAGGGACTCATAAAAGAAGCTCTTGAGAATATAGACCCTGCTACTCAGATGATGATTCTAAACTGCATCTACTTCAAAGGTAGGAAGTAGCTTTATGGTTCTCAGAGCAAACTCACAATACAACAGTTTGGTATGTAAGAAGACTGAATGCTAAGAACTAATTTGTAGCTGTAATTTATTCAGGAAAATAAGACACAAGGTTGACTGACTCAGGGACAGGAACATGAGGTGACAGCCACTAAACCCTAACATTATTTTATACTCACTGGATTTTCACATGTGAGGTCATCATAGCATCCTGATTATCAGGGTCCTTATTTTATAGACAAAGCCACTAAAGCAGAGAGGTAAGATGAATATCTTGAGAGTATGGATAGTAAGGGACAGTGTTAAGGCCTGACCTAGGTAGGCTATCCCTTGTGATTATTAATCAGAAGAAATATTGCAAACCCTCCCTTTAACATTTGGATTTAGGTTTCTTCATTTTTCTTTCCCAATTATCAGTGAGTAGGAATGTAGACAAAAGGCTAAAGAAATGATTCTAGCCACTATTTATCTTCAGTAACTGACATGAACACAACGCCTCAGGGAACTTCTGCATTAATGAGTAGGTGGGAAATACATCATTAATTATTTTATTTTTACCTTTTTTCTTTAGACAGGGTTTCACTACGTAGCCCTGGCTGGCCTGAAACTTCCTATATAGATAAAGCTGACCATGAACTTACTGCCTTTGCCTCCTGAATACTGAGATTATAGGACCAAGCCACCGTGCCTAGGTTCCCCCTGCCCCCGATACATACCCTTTTTTTGAGAGAGAGTACCACATAATCTAAGGGTAGCCTCAAATTTCCTATATATTAGCCAACGATGACCTTGAACTCCTGATCCTCCTGCCTTCATCTCCCAAGTGCTGGGATTATAGGCATGTACCACCAAGCCCAACCCTAACCATTCTTTGAAAAAAAATTTAATTTTATTTATTTAAAGTGTGTGGATGCATGCATGCCATAGATGTATGTGGAGGTTCTTTCCTTCCACTACATGGGTGCCTAGGATAGAACTTAAGTTGTCAGGCTTGGAGGCGGGCAACTTTATCTGCTGAGTCATCTCTTTAGTCCTAAATCACTATTTCTTCAGCAACTGATGAGAGCACTTTTTAAGGAAGGTACTATCTCTCCTTTAACATATGTGCACATATATACATGAGTACAAACACACATACACAACAATTCAAACCTCTTAGTAGAACCTATTCAAAATAAACTGCCATCTGGTTCTTTAAGCTGAAGGGCAGTCACAGGGATGGCTTAGCATCAGAGCTCACCACAGCACCACATCATCACATTTCTTATTTGTCATCAATGATGTCTGGATACCACGGAGGGAATAACTGTTGGGAAGCTAATACTTCCTGCTTTTTTGCTCCAGTGGTTGTACTGCTCAGGGATGCAAATACAGATGCTTTTGCCTAGCTTCTGTTTGTAAAGGTAGGACCAGAGCCTCTTCTGACTTGTCAATGTACCCTCTCAGTGCCCAGTGAACTCCCAGCAGTTCTGCAAGACAGGCATCCTGCCAGGCTGGGCTGCAGAATAGCACTGGAGAGGCCATGACTGCAGGGAGCCTAGAGTGCTGTGATCTGACCCTCTGACTTCCATCCAGAGTCAGGTACAGCACTGCCCTCAACGAGGGTACAGCTAAAGCCTGAATCTCTAACAAGCCCTGACAGACACAGAGAGAGAGACAGACAGATAAACATAAACACACACACACACACACACACACACACACACACACACACAAACACATGTAGTATATATGTATGATGAAAATGCACTTTTCTTTTTCATTGCTGATTCTAAGTACAAGCTTTGGAATTGAGCAAACAAGAGTCTAAGTCCTGGCTTCATCCCTTCTCATTTTTGTAACCTCAGGAAAGTCGCTCAACACCTCTGTGACTTAGTTTACTTGTCTTTATCACGGAAATGATAACACCTACTCTGACAGGGCTGTAGAGAAAACAAAAGAGACAGTGATATGACACTTGGTCCTGTGTGTTGCAAATGGTGAGAGCACAGTGAATTGAGGAATGAAATTATAGATTATAATATAGTGTACAGTGTAATGATTGTAATTATGTATGACATTGTTTATGTAACCTTTACTTTCAGAAGCAATTAGTCCTCAGTTTTATCAGTTTGCTGGGTATTCCCAGTTTGCCCACAGCCTCTATATTAGTTATGAAGTTCTGCAGGCCAAGAAGCCATTTCTGTCAGCATTGGGCAGATAGGAATGGAGAACAAACTAGGAATGATCAGATTATTTTTTGAGGTATAGGAGTGGATGCCTTTCCCTATCACATTGGAACAGTCACTTAACTCAATGTTGGGAATTGGATGCATCTCAAAGGTTAGAAAATTTTATTAAGTACAATTTTAATTTCTAGTTCCAAAATCTGTTACTAGTTTAACTTTGAGTGTTATAATCACCTTGTTAAAAGACTCTTCTCACCACTGTTGAAGAATAGTGGTTTCCAATGGGGTCCAGAGCAGATGTGTGCAGGCACTCCTATCTTTCACAGCTTCAGCTGGTATCCAGCTGGGAGAGCCTAGGAATGCTGCTAAAACCCTACAAAGCACAGATAGTCCCCACACTATGGAGAATTATTTGTTTCAGAAACCCTGGTAAGGTCGACTTAGAGGAGGCAGCTGAGCCATAATCATGGGCATTTAGTATTTAAACTTCCTCCAAAAACACTTGTTTTCTCATCCCAGCTGCTCAAATCACCAGAGAGAAACCCTGAACAGGCTACTTCACTTTAGTGTCTCTGATACCTTATCCATAAAATGTGTATAAAAATACAAATCATCCACTTCATATAGAAATTTTCTGCTAAGAGCCGAAAATGAGCACTTAAGATGAATGCCTGATATGTGGCCTGATGTCAACTGGATACCAACATTACTAGTTATGAGTATATTAGAGCTAAAAGAGACAGATTTATTCCTGGATGACAGCTCTGCATGCAAGCAACAAGGACGATCCTGAGGACACCACCACATCACCTATGTGTCCTGCCAAGTGCTATAGACACATAGTACAAAGGCCCAAAAGAGCACTAAGCTACTCACTTTAAATAATGTCGAAAATCTAATCCATAATCCATTCTGGTCTTTTAAAGTACAAGTTAAAAATGCAAACTCATAGCCCCAAACAGACCTGAGAATCAGAAACTGAGGATTGGCCCTACAGAGCCCTTCAAGGGATTGGGACACATGCTCACGAGCAAAAACCAGGCTCTAAAGAGACATTCTAATAACTGTCTTTCTCCTTTTGACTTTACAGGAACTTGGGTAAATAAATTCCCAGTAGAAATGACACACAATCACAACTTCCGGCTGAATGAGCGAGAGGTGGTCAAAGTCTCCATGATGCAGACCAAAGGGAACTTCCTTGCAGCAAATGATCAGGAGCTAGACTGTGACATTCTCCAGTTGGAGTACGTAGGGGGTATCAGCATGCTAATTGTGGTCCCACACAAGCTGTCGGGGATGAAGACCCTTGAAGCGCAGCTGACACCCCAGGTTGTAGAGAGATGGCAAAAAAGCATGACCAACAGGTACTTCCGGGCATTCATTCTTTTATACTCCCAGGGTCTGGGATGACTAGGAGTAGTGAAGCTCTGGTCAATTTTTGCTTTTTATTTATTTATTTTTGAGACAGGGCACCACTCTGTAGCCCAGACTGACCTGGAACTCACTATGTAGTATAGATGGACCTTGAGCTTGCAGTGACTATCATCTCTCAACCTCCCAAGTGCTGAGATTATAGATATGAGCCACCCCATTCAGTTTGGCCAGTTTTTTTTTTTTTTTTTTTTTAAATAAAGGGAGAGTATGAGAAACCATTCCCAAATTGCCAAACAGGCCATGCTCATTTATTTCAGCCCCAATTTTTTGTTATGAAAACATATCTCCTTCACAGGTTGTTTCAGAAGGTAGGGGCAGGTAGCTTAGGGCCAGTTTAGAAATAACTTCCTATCTATTATATTCTTCCTATTCTACTATATTCTATATTCCCAGCTCAATCAACCCAAAGGGAAATGAATCACATTACTAACCAAGGTGAAGGTGAGAAACAAACAGAACAGGTAGGTTGATCCCTCGTCTATTCCCAGTGCCTGGAGCATAAGAGGCATCCATCAAACACTAGTTCTTCCCCACCAGGAAATTACAAGGTCTTCTTAATGCATTCAAGACTCCTCATTCATGATTTTTCCTCAACTATTATTTATTATTACAGTTAAAACTGTTGATGTTAAATATTTACTAAGATTATTATTGGACCATGGCAGAAAGAATGGAGAGGTAGGCCACATTTCTCTCTTAATGGATACTTATTGGTTAGGCCCATAATGAGAAGTAAATATGGTTTGGGGCTCCTTGTTAGACAAGAAATATAAAAAATGCAACAAAACTGAGAGAGATTGTTGGGTATGGTAGCACACATCTGTAAATCCCAGCACTGGCAAGTCTCAAGGGTCAGTTTAGAAAGAGTGAGATCTTTGTTTCAAAAAACAAAAGCTGCAGGGCGTGGTGGTGCATACCTTTAATCCCAGCACTTGGGAGGCAGAGGCAGGCAGATCTTTATGAGTTCAAGGCCAGCCTGGTCTACATAGTGAGTTCCAGGACAGCTGGTGGGGCTACAGGGAGACCCTGTCTCAAAAAGACCCAAAAAAACAAAAGCAGGATCTGGAGAGATGGCTTAGCGGTTAAGAGCACTGGCTGCTCTTGTAGAGGACCCAGGGTCGATTTTCAGCACCCACATTGTGGTTAACAACTGTTCATAACTGCAGTTCCAGGGGAATCCAACATCCTCTTCTGACTGCTAAGGGTACTGCACGACATGGGTGCACTTACATACATGCAGACATAACACTCATATACATTAAAAAAATAAAAAAATAAAAAAATAAAACATGGGCCAGTGAGGTGACTCAGTGGGTAAGGGTGCATGCTGCTAAGCCTGACTACCTGAGTTCCTGGGACTCACATGGCGGAAAGAGAACCAACTCCCAAAAGTTTTTCTCTGACCTTCATATGCACACCATGGGGAGCACACGCGTACACACAGAATAAATAAATGCAATAAAAAATGTAAAACGGGGCTGGAGAGATGACTCAGTGGTTAAAAGCACTGGCTGCTTCTTGCAGAGGACCTGGTGTCTGTTTCCAGCACCCACATGGTAGCTAACAGTCCTCTGTAACTCCAGTTCCAGGGGATCTGACTCCCTCTTCTGGCCTCTGTGGGTATTGCACATACATGGTACACTTACATATATGCAGGCAAAACACTTATACATGCAAAATGAAAATAAATAAATCAAAAAATTAAAAATTAAAAACAAAATATAAGAAAAAATGAGTAGCAGACTCAGAGAAAAGTAAATTCAGGTATACTACAAGTTATTAAGCCCAGTGGATTTTTGCTTTAAAATATTCCTTTGGGGGCTGGAAAATGGCTTAGTGGTTACTGAGAACTGGCTGCTCTTGCAGAGGACCCAGGTTTGATTCCCAGCACCCACATGGTGACTAACAACCATCCATAACTCCCATTCCAAGGGAATTCAATGCCCTTTTCTGACCTCTGTGGGCATTGCATGACACTGGTATACTTACACACATGCAGGTAATACAGTCACACACATAATCCCTCCCCCACCTGCAAAAAAAAAAAACTTCTAGCTGTGGTGGTGCACACCTGTAGTACCAGCACTTGGGAGACAGAGGCAGGTGGATCTCTGTGAGTTCAAGGCCAGCCTGGTCTACATAATGAGTTCCAGGCCAGCTGGGGCTATAGGGAGACCCTGTCTCAAAAAGACAAAAAAAAAAAATTCCTTTTGTACTTACTTCATGTCTAATTTCCTTATCAATGATTCGCTCCCCTGGATCTAGTAAGGCCAAGCCAACCTTCTGGTTCCATTCTTAGTGCAACATATTATTTCCATTCTCCTGTTCTTATAAACTCTCTGTGGAACCCCACCCACTGAAGCTTGCTCAGCTTCTTAGCTTGATACACAGATTCTTCCCTTCCTGGTCTGGCCTGCTTAATGTCTTTTCTCTTTCCCTCCCTTGGCCCTTCCCCTCAAGCTCCAGTCAGACCCAAGGTCTCATGTTCCCTCCAACGAACATCCTTAGAGTTCCCTCCAAAAATCAAGTTTCTTATATACAATGGCATAATGTTTGCACAAACCCCATGCGTATTCCTCCATATACTGTAGGTCATCTCTACCTTACTTATAATACCTAACACAATATAAATTCTTTGTATTGCTTAGAGAATGATGAGAACAAAAATTCTGTACATGTTCAATACAGATACAGTTTTTCCCAAATGCTTATAATCTGTGATTGATGGAACCCTGTCTCAAAAACACCAAAAAAAGAAGTGTTATGCCAATTCTGTGGTAGTAAATGTAACCTACTACAGGCCAGGGAAGATGTGATTACTCTGTTAATCTGTGTTCATAAAACTGGCTCCTTTCTTCTCCACTAGAACTCGAGAGGTGCTTCTGCCCAAGTTTAAGCTTGAGAAGAACTACAACCTGGTGGAAGCCCTGAAGTCCATGGGGATCACAGAGCTGTTCAACAAAAATGGCAACATGTCAGGCATCTCAGACCAAAGGATCACCATTGACTTGGTAACTCCCTCATGTGTACTAGCCCCCAGATTCTGCCGTGGCACAGGCATTGTCTCCAAGTTTTCTTCCTAGCCCTACAGCACATCATCTATCTTCCCAGATCAGGGATGCTAAGGCTGTTCTTGTGTCTGGCTGCAGCACTTAATGCGCAGTTCTACAGATGCCAACCAAGGGTACAGTTCGTGAGATGAGTAAGCAAGGTCACAGGAAGCAGCCTTGAAGTGAGTTGTACTCCTGCTGACATTCATTCTGTGAGACCAGGATAATAGCAAAGGACTCATACACACGGGGAAATGCACTACATTCTTGATTAACTGAACAAATCAACAACAGGCACTCTGTAAAAGTGAACAGGCCCCAACCTCCTGGTAGGCCTGTGACATAAAATTTGAGGATACAGGAAGCTGGATGACTGTTTTAGTTCCCAAGGCCTCTCAGACTGTAGACATGGACAAGAGTGAATGCAGTTGTAGAGTTTAAAGGTAAGTATCTGTGATATGATACAAATTTTTTTTTTTTTTTTGTCTTTTTGAGACAGGGTCTCTCTGTAGTCCCAGCTGTCCTGGAACTCACTATGCAGACCAGGCTGGCCTCAAACTCACCAAGATCTGCCTGCCTCTGCCTCCCAAGTGCTGGGATTAAAGACATGCGCCACCATGCCTGGTGATATGTACAAATTTTAATCATAATTCCCAACTGCTAAAAGATCATTTCACGGGTCATTTTGACTAGAGGTGTTTTTTTTTGCCTGATGTGAGGTCTTTGGAACTTCTGTCTGAGTAAGATGAGTCTCCACCAGATGCTGTAGGTATTTCTCTATGTACCAACCTACAGAAGTTGACATCTCTTTTCCAATTTTAAACAGTTCAAGCACCAAGGCACCATCACAGTGAATGAAGAGGGCACCCAAGCTGCAGCTGTTACCACAGTGGGTTTCATGCCTCTGTCTACTCAAGTCCGCTTCACTGTTGACCGTCCCTTCCTGTTTCTAGTGTATGAGCACCGCACCAGTTGCCTCCTGTTCATGGGAAGAGTGGCAAACCCTGTCAAGTCTTAATGGTGGCAGTCTGGGCTCCTGGTGTGTTTTGGGGACACTTTGCAATTCTGTTCCCATTCTAACAATAAGGACAGACTACTTCAGCATCATAACTTCTGTGGCTTATGCTAACAAGCCTAATTTAAGGCCCATATAGGAGAAGAAATTTACCAAGGACTGAGAAGCTAACAGTAAATAATGCCGTAAGTCCATAGGAGTTAATGTAATTAATATGCTAGCTATTCCCTAGAGGTCTCAGCAACACAGACTGCCTCCATCTGCCTTGAAGGGAAAACCGACAGAGGGTACCTGGACATCTTCTCCACAAGCAGCTTCGTCAGCCTATTGCTCGAGGCCTTTTCTCAATCAAATCCCTCATCTGAATGGAACACAAGAGTTGCATGATTACTTTCTTACCTCTCCCAGAGAGGATGCCTAACTAGCACCATTCCTGCTAGAAGAGACAGACCTTGAGATATATATACAGGGTGCCTGAAATACTGGGGCCTAATTCTCTCAAGGCCTAATTTTCCAAATCCATGCAAATGTTATCTCTCTTTTCCTGTTGCCTCATTGTTACCTATGCATATATACAAGGCTACACCTTCTGTTCTAGAGATAAATAAACATAGCCACATTTACTGTGTATCTCTTATAACTCTTTTTTCATTTTGTTTTTGGTCTTTTTGAGACAGGGTCTTCCATAGCCCCAGCTGGCCTGGAACTTGCTATATAGACCAGGCTCACTGCAATCTCACAGAGCTCAGCCTGCCTCTGCCTCCCAAGTGCTGGGACTAAAGGTGTGTGCCACCATGCCCAGCTATAATTCTATTTTGAAGCTCAAATAACAAAGACCAAATTCAAAGGTGCTATACCCTCAGGAAAGGCAAAGGTTGACAGAAAATCACTCAAGCACTTTACGGAGACTAATGCACTATACACAGGGCACAGCCTGAAGATCAAGATGAAGTGTATGGCTGAGCCCTGAATACCAGTGTGCACTGAATTCCTAAGATAAGGTGCTCTTGGGTCACATGAGCCCAGAGGCTCCCACTCATTAGGTGAGGTGCATGCTTCAGCTTTCATCCCTCAGACATGGTCTTGTAGAAGTTCTGGCTGATAAAGCTGGCAATATCTAAGGAATGTTTCTGTATCACTCACAATCTGGATTAGGCACCCTAAATCCAAAAGGCTGCTAAGAAGGTATGAATCATTCAGGTATGACTTTATTGAAGGGACTGTCAACTGTAATAGAAGAAGCAGTCACAAGCTCTGTGCATATGGGTTGACTCACTGTACTCCCCATACCCTGAAGGGAAAAGTTTTATTTCTGCCACAATGCAAGGAAAACAAGAGCTGGAACCTGAAATATGTTCAAAAATACAGCTGCAGTACATGGGAGGTTTAGGGTTCAAGGGCAGGCTGCCCCAACTTGAGGGTCGTGTAGGGAGTCTTGGCTACAGATGACTCTGACTACATGAGGCAATACCAGTAATGGGAGCAGCTGAAAAGGAATGCCACGTGCTTGCTGGTGCAATGCCTGCACATATGCACAGGTCATCTCACCGAGAACTCACACCAACCTTAGGAGTTCTAGTTAATCATCACTTCCTTTTGACAGCTGAGGAAGTAATGAAAACTTATAGGAGAGAAGTGATTTGGTAAGATCTAGATACAAACGAGGCAGGTAAGCCCCAGAGCCTGCATTCCTTGTTAACTCTCCTCACTTTCTGTCCCAGCTCTGCACCAGCATTGTACTAAAAAAGACAGCATAGGACTGAGAACAGATCTCCTCACAACATCTGCTCAGCCTCTTGGTGGAGGTTAGGACCTTGCTGATGTCTCATTTTTTTTTTCCAGTTTGCTTTAAAATTGTTCTTTTCTGGTGCTCATTTTATGTGTTTCTTTTTGTTGGCAGTTTCCCTTGCTCCTTACATTTCAAAATGTAGTTATCTCAAAATCTGTGTCCTAAAAAGCTGGATAGACATGGTGGTGAGTCTCTGTAGTTCCAGTTATTCAGGAGGCTAAGGTTAGGCAGATTGCTTGTGCCTAAGAGTTCAAGACCAGCTTGGATCACAAACAAACACTTCCCCTGTCCTCCATTTTCAGCCTGAGTTTGCCATGTCAGTTCTCTTCCTGGAAAGGCAATAGTCTCAGTTCCAACCTCCTGCCTAGACTCCTCCAGGCCCCTGCACAGGGCAGAGCCTTCCAGTCTCTATACTTCTATTCACTTGGAATTGTTCTGACCCCCACTTAGAGAAATTAGCCTATCAATTCTGAAAGTGGTAGAGGATTAATTCTCAGCACAGGCTTCCTGGCTTTAAATTTTGGCTCTGATGAGACTTTGAGCAAGTTTTTTTTTTTTTAAATTTTTATTTTATTTTATTTTGTAATTTACCTGTGTTGTGCAATGCCAGCAGAGGTCAGAAGAGGGCTTCAAATTCCCCTGGAACTGGAGTTAAGGACAGTTTGTAGCCACCATGTGGGTGCTGGGCTGGGATTCGAACTTGGGTCTTCTGCCAGAACAACCAGTGTTCTTAACTGCTGAGCCATCTCTCCAGCCCCAACTTTGAGCAAGTTTTATGCCTTAGTATCCTCATCTGTAAAATGGGAATAAAAGTAGTACCTGTCTTGCAGGATTGTTATGAAGGTTAAATGTTAATGTTATTTTAATATATGGAACAGGGTATAGATCAGAGCTTAGAGTTCAGCAGAAGACAGGTAAGGATTTCCTACCTTAACCTAAGAGTATCTCACTGAGGAGTTTCTAACTTAGGGGCCCTGGAAAGATTTTTCCCATGCAAAAACACAGATGCATCTTGAACATAGATGTATTTCTATGGAAAAGGAGTGTAAAGCTTACAAAAGGGTCTGTGACCTAGTCAGTGCCAATCCACAAACCTCATCTGCAGGCACTGAGAGAATAAGTAACCTGTCCAAGGCCACAAAAACTACCAGGAACACAGATAAACCTGCTCTTAGTGGAATAGTTTTGATCTAGTAGCACATCTTATTAAGTCATTACATTATAACAACTGAGTGGATGAGGTCTCCAAGCATAGATAATCTTCAAGATGCTTAGATATGGGCTATATAGCAATAAAAGCAATTTAATTAATGATTATTCTGAAGGAATAAGTTTACAAAGTTAGAAGATAAAGATTGACTATCTAAGCAGGAAGGAGTCTCAGAGCTCATGACCCAGTCTCATAGCAACTCTCTCTAGTTTCTCAAGGTTACTGAGATGTAAACAGGAGCAGCTGGAGCAAAACCCAAGATTTCTACCCCAAATCAACTGGCTCCTTGAGTCATTAAAGGTCTAAAGCAGAGTATTCATCTATTTGAAAAACAGTATGAAACACTAAAAACAAAAACAAAAACCCTACTTCACCTTTGGAAATCAGTTTCTCCTAGAAGGTACAAGGGGTTAGCTAAAAAGCAAATGCAAGAACACATGACCCCTTTGGCTCACTGTTAAGCAATGAGATCAAATATTTGTTTCCTCCCCCATAATATAACCATTAACTTCTGTTAAAAATACAATACTCAGCTGGGCGTGGTGGCACACGCTTTTAATCCCAGCACTCAGGAGGCAGAGGCAGGTGGATCTCTGTGAGTTCAAGGCCAGCCTGGTCTACATAGTGAGTTCCAGGACAGCTGGGGCTACAGGGAGACCCTGCTTCAAAAAAGACCAACCCCCCCCTAAAACAAAAAAAAACCCCAAAACCCAAAACAAAAAACCCTGAGGTACTTGGCATTGTCCATGAAATTAAATTAAACAAACAAACTCTATTCACATAAAATAGAAAGATTAGGTGTATTTAGGGTGGATGTTTTGAGATATCATTTACCACAGTACTGCCTATACTGATCCTGTACAAAGGCTCAGACACTTAGAGTTCCACAAAACAAATGATTAAGAGTTATACTGCAGGCTTTATGATCCTATGTGTGCTCCTAGGTAACTTTAACTCATCATTGCTCCAAAGAGCAAACTGACCCTGGAAGATTTCTTGTAGGAACTTACTATACTCTAAATGACCATTAATAGACATCCTGGAAAATTCACAGGTGGGGAGGCCAGGAGGGGAGGGGAACAAATAAGAACAAAGCATAATAACATGTATGAGGAACATGATGAAACATACCTAAAAAGTTCATTTTAAGAAAATCATGGAAATGTTTTTCAACCATTTGAAAAAACAAATGTTTATGCCAAAATAAAATCAGCTTTTGCAAGTGGTTTGGAGAGCAAGCTCCCAGGAATATGGGTCATAGAATTCTGGTACTCAAAGATCCCAGATCTCTTGGCTGAGTGCCACCTTAAGCATCCTCTCTGTCTTCCTACAATCTGCTTCTTCATGGGGTTTGCCTGGCCCCTGTTTCTCTTCCAACAGGCCGAGAAAGCACCTTGACCTTCATGTTCCTTACCTTTCCCTCTAGGCCAAACAGAAGGCTTATAATGATAGCACTTACCCAGCCACAGCTCAACTTTTGCTGTTGTGGTGGTGCTGGTAATTTGACCCAGAGCCTTGCATATGCCAGGCAAGGGCTCCATCACTGAACTAGAGCCTCAGTCAATAATGACACTCCAAAAAGTAACTTACATTAGGTAGTATTAATTAAAAATTAGGAGAATATATATAGTTTGTTTTTGTTATTTTGAGCAGGGTCTCCCTGTAGCCACAGCTGGCTTGGATTCACTATGGAGACCAGGCTGGCCTTGAACTCACATAGATCTGCCTGCCTCTGCCTCTGGAGTGCTGGGATTAAAGGCATGAGCCACCACATCCAGCTGAGAATTTATATTTTTAAAGTGAGCTGATAGGGTATGGGCAAAATAAATAACCAACTAGGGTATCTGTGAAAAATGCCATTATAGAAAGAATACTGCAATTCTGAAAATCTTTAAGATCTGTGTGAATCGCTCGCTGACGGCCAAAGTGCTAAGGTTCAAAGGCACTAAGGTTTCCAAGGGAACATGTAAAGTCCATGAGATAGGAAGTTGTAGCTTATTACACTGTAGACCCAGCCCCCTACAGGAAGACGAACTATCCTTATACAGACCCTATTCCTCATTCTGTGTCAACCACATACAGACAAGAGGTATAGGAGGGAAAAGGATATTGGTGGGAGGAAGGCAAACTATATGTGGGATACTCCACAAAATAAAGACCATTTACTATTAAAGATTAATAATAACAAACCAGTCTAGAAGTCTCGAGGTTTGAAGAACAACACTCAGATTAGTGTGAGCATACAAACCCTTTCACTATGATGGGGAGAGACTAATATGATATGGTGGTGCATGCTTGTAATCCTACCATCTGACAGGCTGAAGAAAGACAACTGTCAAGTTCAGGGCCAGTCTGGACTACATACAGAGTTCTAGACCACCCTGAGCAATACTCTATCCCCCCAAAAAACAAAAAATGTGTGTGTGTGTGTGTATATGGAAGAAATGTGCGGCCATGATTCCACTTGCTTGTTCACCACCTAGTCCGTAGGACACATACAACATTAGTTTTCAAGACTTAAAGTACTAGGCATGGAGTGAGGTAGGAAGGAGAGTGGGGGCTACATCTCTACTTTTTGTAAGAAAATAAGAGGTTTTCTGGTCTCATCTTACAGGAAGTAGCCAGGAAAGC